AGTGCCCCAATCCTCTCCATTAGACCTGAACAGAGGCTAGGTCAGTCTTTTCCAGAAGAGGTTGTGCAATGCACCCCATATTCATCACAGTGATATTATTATAATATGATTATGACATAATTATGATGGATTTTATCCAAGATAAGTCATGTGAGATATCATTGGGAAAGTTATGATTTGCTGAATATGATTATCCTATTCATATGCATGTATTCTTTTTTGTATCTGAAGTTATGAATACTGAGGTATGTATTGTGACAGGATCAGGCCAGATGGCTATAGGATCCTATTGGGATCCAGGAAGTGGGAAGGCGGAAGCCCACCCACTGCTAAAGGACCTCTCCCCAGCCTAGTGGGAGGATCCACAGGTCTGGGATTCCACGTAATTGCAGGGGACAACTAAAGATATAATAGGAACAGGAGTGAGGTCAAGGGCTAAACGAAGGGAACCTGACAGGGACACCCAGCAGAGAACTCTGGACAGTGCCCACTGCTCCTCGAAGGTGTCAAGGGAGCCAGCGGATGCTGGCCAGAGGAACTCCACCCAGATGCCTGAACAGACTGAGGAGCGGAAATAGGCCCCGCAGTCGCAGGAAACCCCATCAGCCAACCTCCCTGCCCTGGTTTTGTAGATGGCCATTTTGGCCAGGGCTAGGAGGAGGTTGACAAGGAGGTCCCGTTACTTTGTGGGGCCACAGAGAGGGAGTGCATTGATGAGAAGGTGAGGGGGAAAGTGCAACCAAAAATGCAATAATAAATCTAGGAGGGGCTGCAGCCTGGCCCACTCCAAGTAAACGTGTGCCAGGGTCTTCCTCACGCCGCAGAAAGGGCAGGTGTCCAGGATGGGGGTGAACCGTGCCAAGTACACGCCCATGCTCATGGCTCCGTGAAGGAGCGGCCAACTGATATCCCCGGTGGGCCAGCCTATATTCCACCCCGATCCCGAGGCCCTCCGGGGTTCCTCACCTTCCAGAGGTGGCAGGAGGTTCCTCCACTTTGTGTTGGGGCGGGACGTGAGAGTGAGGATGCGAAGGGTGTGGAGCACAAGCATGTATAGATGTTTCCTCGGCACGGTCTGGAAACTAACCAGCTGCAAATCGTGCAGCCAGCTCACAGTGAAGGGGCGGGGGGGAGGCGGTCGGGTCCATGGGCAGAGGCCTGATGAAAAGGTCCGGAGGGCCTGGGGTATAGGGTGGGCGGGGCGTGCCCGCTCACAGGACCCAGTTCAGGTAGGTGCGAGCAACGGGCAGTAAAGTGGCCCTCACCTGCTGAAGTATGCACCAGGGAGTATGAGGTCTGGAGATCCCCATGCACCGAGCAAGTGTCAGGGGATCCAGCCAGGCTCCCCAGTCGTAGTCCAGGAGGTCTCCAACTCTGGTAACTTCTGCCAGAACCAACTTGTGGCACGCTGAGGGGGGCTCCGCCACCTGCACATGGAGCTGGGGGTTGTATAGCAGGGGCTCTGCGGTGGCCACCACGGACCTGGTCACTGAGAACAGTTTCCAGGCCCTTCAGGCCCTGCCCTCCCTCCTCCAGGGGCAGGTGGAGGACCCCTGCAGAGACCCAGTGCACTCCTGGCCAAAAGAACTCTAGAATCGCCGTCCGGAGGTTGACCAGGAAGTCTGAGGCTGGGGCCAGGGTGTTGAGCTGGTACCAGAGCATGGACAGGACTAGTTGATTGAGCACCAGTGCCCTCCCTCGAAGGGAGAGGCACCGGAGTAGTCCTGTCCATTTCTGAAGCCGATCTGTCACCCTGCCCTCTAAACCCTGCCAGTTCTCCAGCAGAGATGGATGCGTGGCAGAAAGGTAAATGCTGAGATAGAGTAGCGGACCCGCGCTCCACCAGATGGCCTGAAGCGCGGGTGGGAGGGAGCTCGCCCGCCACCTGTCCCCAACCACCAGGCCAAAGCTCTTGACCCAGTTGACCCGGGCGGAGGAGGCTGCCGAGTAGACGGCCTGGCAAGCCACCACCCGCACCAAGTCGCCCGGGTCCTGGACCATGAGGAGCACGTCATCGGCATATGCCAACAGGACCAGCCATAGCTCCAGCTCTCGCAGCACCAACCCCGTCAGCCTCCAACGGAGGAGACAGAGGAAGGACTCGATCGCCAGAGCATACAGCTGGCCCGAGAGGGGACATCCCTGCCGCACTCCCCACCCAAAGCTGACCGGTTCCGTCAGGGTCCAGTTGAGCCTGACCAGACACTCTGCGGAAGCATACAGCACCTGGAGAAAGCCCACAAACCGGGGTCCGAAGCCTAACGCTCGCAGAGTGCCCAGGAGATACCCATGGTATCCCTGTCGAATGCCTTCTCCTGATCCAGGGACAGGAGGGCGAACGACAGACCATCCCTAAACCCAAGCTCCAAGAGATCCCGGACCAGATACAGGTTATCAAAGATGGTACCGCCCGGGTCAGTGTAGGTCTGGTCTGGGTGGACCACCTCCACCAGCATGGACCCCAGCCGTAGCAAGATGGCCTTCGCTATGACTTTGTAGTCCGTGCTGAGGAGCAAGACGGGATGCCAATTCCGTAAGTCATGGAGGTCCCCCTTCTTCGGCAATAAGGTCATTATTCCAAGTTGGGGCACAAAAGTGGTGCAAGCATATGATAGGTGTAGTATGTAAATGTAATTGTTATCCTGAAAGGTGGTAATGGCTGCCATCATGGGGTCTTGGGTCGAAAGCGAATCACAGAGCTCATGAAAGCCAATGGCTGGGCCAAGCACACTCTATTAGGCTCAATAGACAGAACCATCAAAATCCTTTATGTAGTAAAAACATCTGCAGACAGTGGGGGCTACCACACAAGGCACTGGCCACATGATCAGGGCAGAGCTAGCTAGGGGTTTCCCTTGTTACCAGTGCAGGGACCAGGATATTGATGTTGGACTACGTCTCTTGGAGGGAGAAGTCAGTGGAAGGAGTTGTGACTGGAATCCTAGAAGGGAGCAAAGAACCAAAGCTGTTGGAGCTCGCTGGAGGGGCAGACTGGGGATTTCTGAGCTTTGAAACTGCCGGCTGTTGTTAGGTTCAGCTGTATACAGGGAAACAGAACTTTGTGTGCACTTAGCCTTGGGTCCTATCACGAGTGAATGTCACCGAGTTAACCCGATTGAAAAAAGCCTCTTTTTTCCTAGTGCAGAGCAGACCCAAGGGGTTTCCTTTGGGACTGGAATGAACAGAGAGGCATCTAAATAACCTTCCCTATGGATTGCAGCAAAGTGACCATTTTGTATTTGCTTGGCATTAAAGGAGCAGGATGGTCTGGCCACGTACTGGTGTGAATTGCACTGTTCTCTGAGCTCCATGGAGGCTCCATAAACATGGAGTTCCCAGATCAGCCACCCACTGCTGCAACCAGCCTGTTCCAGGGGTCACAGTGGAACTCTGCATGTAGCCGTAGCTCCTAGGCGTAGTAATAATGCCTGTACTTGCTCCCAGTCTCAGGGACAGTCCTGGGTTCTCAAACCCTGTCCTGGGGACCAGTTCTCCCAGGCAATATCCGAGGACTGTGTGGCAGGCAGTGGCCCATCCTCAAAGTCCCTGTGAACTGCCTCTCTCCCAGCAACCAGCTTTTCCTCTCCATAACCTCTAGAGATGCAAACAGCTCTAGAGACAACTGGGGGCAGGGGGTGGAACTCAGAGCTACTGGGAGAAAAGCCAATGGCAGGAAGTGGGGGCAGAGTCTGCTCCTCATCTGGGGAAGGAGCAGCCTGTACACGCAGGGCAGAGAGGCCAGGTAGAAAGGGGAGAAGAGGAGGGGGAAGAGCCCAGGGGAGGAGGGTGGGAAGAGACCAGTGGAAGAGGGAAATGTGTGGGGCAGGTGGGGAGAGGAAGCTCCGGTAGGGCACACAAGGCTGTAATGCCAAGCGCCACAGAAGAAAAATTGTGAAGTTAAAAAAATCCATTTTTTTCCCATCTGTCTTTGGACTTTAGAACCCCCCTCAACCCCTCTGTCAGAGTGGGGGTGAGAATCGCAGGCTGAAAAGTCACCATTTAATGCACCCAAACTGCACAACTACCCCTGGCTGCTCAGCTGGAGACTGCGCTTACCCTTCCCTCACCCCTGAGCCGGGAACTGCCGTCCATTGCCCAGCACTGCCTTCGCTCTCCCCTCCTGGTTCAGTTCCTCTGACAGAAGAAGGGATGGCTGGGAAAGAGCTTGACAGCCACTGAGCTAATTAACGCAGCGTGGTTCACACTCACACTCAGACTTCTGTTACTGGTCAGGGGTGAGTTACAGACAGATACTGGAGACCTTCACACTGACATCAACCATTCACATCAGCTATAATGTCACCGTAACATGACGGGATTGGTTTAGCCTTTTGCAAACAGCAACACTTCCCTGGCTTCCCCCACCCCATCCCCTCAACTTCTCTGTCGGAGGCTGTGAAGCACTCTCCCCACAATCTAAAGGCCCCTCCTCTTCCCTTGCCTCCCTCCAGCCTCCTGTGCCAGACCCCCTCCTCCCCTCTCCACCCTCCCTACTGCCTCCTACTCCAGTCCCAATTCCTCACCCCACTGCTCCCTCATGTCCCCTCTGCTCCAAACCCCCACCTCCCTGCCCCTTCACTCCCCCACCTCTCTCTTTCTGCCTCCTTTTCCAGACCCCTCCGCACCCCCCAACTCTCCCTCCTCCACACTCTAGACCCCCTCCTCTCCCTACCTCCTGACCCAACTTTCCAACCCCCTCCCTTCCCTTGGTCCCCTGCTCCAGACCCTCCACCCTACACTTTCCACTCCTCCTTTCTGCTGACACAGCACCTGCACCCCATTCCCTAACAACCCCTGAATCTGCCTCCTGCCCCCAAGTGCCCTGCTCCCCTCACTCTTCCCATCCTCTTTGCACAGGGTGTCTGCTGCCCATCACAGTCCCTGGGTCCTGTCCAGTCGTCTCAGCCATTCAGGGGAAGTCACATTCCCTGTGGGCTTCAATCTCATTGAAAACAGTGGGAGGTGGCAGCCAACTTTACTCAGGGCGGCCTCACTCCCACATGTCGACAGACTGTAGGGAGATGGCCGCGTCTCTCTGGCTTCAGCCCCAGTGACAGTGACAGGAGATGGCGCCATTTGAAATAAGGGAAACTCCTTGAGTTGGCGCCTTTTATCGTGTTCTCGCAAGACAGGTAAAAACACCCCAAATCGCCAGAGTGGGGATAATACGGCGAAAGCTGCAGCACTGACAGCCCCGAGTGTGAGGCCCTGAGACAGGATCAGTTGGCGCCATCAGGCAGCTCTGGGCATGTCCCATTCTCATGGCTCTGGGCACGGATCCCCTGCTGCCAGGTGTGGACTCTGCTGTGATAATGCTGGGGAGGGGACTCCCTGCTGCTCTGACCCTGCTCTGTGTCTCTCTTTGAAGGTGTCAACGAGCTGAGGCTGGCGGATGGAGGCAGCCCCTGTGCCGGGAGAGTGGAGGTTAAACACCAGGATCAATGGGGGACGGTGTGTGATTTTATCTGGGACATGGAAGATGCTGAGGTGGTTTGTAAGCAGCTGGGATGTGGATCTGCTGTCAGTGCCCTTGGCCGGGCTCATTTTGGAGCAGGATCTGGACCGACTTGGCTGTATCAAATTGATTGTAGTGGTGACGAGTCAGCTCTCTGGGACTGCAGTCATAGAGGATGGGGTGCAGCCCAGTGCCCTCATTCTTTTGACACTGGAGTGATCTGCTCAGGTAAGAACTCAGCCAACCTGCCCCGTAGGAAACTCCCCGTGAGGGAGAAGGGACTGAACCCAAAGTGTCTGACATTCCTGGTGCCTCAGAACTGGACTGTGCCCTGCACTGGGGTCAGGGTGGAACTGACCAGTCTCTCCCTGAGCTCCTGTGGGCAGACTGGGGATGAGCAGCTGTGCCATCCTCTGGGCCACTAGCAGGGGCAGCTGGGGCAGTTGTTGTGGGGTGGGGTGGGGTGGCCCCATTAGCAGGTCTGTGCTGATACGTGCCTGGGTACAGCAGCCCAGTGTCTCCCCGGGGCAGCAGCAGCAGTTGTGACCCTGCCTGTGGCTGAGGGAGCTGGGACAGGAGCTGCGGGGTGGGGGCGAGTGCCGCAGACTCTCAGCTGATCCTGGTGTAACTGACTGAGCTGCACCATCCTTATTTCCACTGTTTCTATATCAGAAATGCACAAGTGTAGAGAGGAGCTCCTTTGCATAATGGGAGGAGCCAACAGTGGGAGCCTTGCAGCCACCTCCCCATTCCCTGCTGGGCCCGTTCTTGCCTCTTCAGGTGTGTGTGTGTGTGTGTGTGTGTGTGTGTGTGTGTGTGTGTATTTCTGCCA